CGGTAGGAAGCACCCACCGTCCCTCCTCCTGCGCCCACCGGGAGGATCTGCACCCTCCTGGCCCACACGAGCTCCCGTTTTCCTTGGAACCGGCACGGTTGCTCCCATGGCCAACGCTGCCGCTTGTCTTCCCCGCTGCAGGCGACTACTGGATCGACCCCAACCAGGGCTGCACCTTGGACGCCATCAAGGTCTTCTGCAACATGGAGACGGGCGAGACCTGCGTGTACCCCACGCCCAGCAGCATCCCCAGGAAGAACTGGTGGAGCAGCAAGGCCAAGGAGAAGAAGCACGTCTGGTTTGCCGAGACCATCGACGGCGGCTTCCACGTAAGCGCGGGGGCCAAGTCTCAAGGCTCCGGTGCGGAAGCCCCTTCCGAAGGGTCGTCCCAACGGCGACGTCTCGCTCTCTTGCCAACAGTTCAGCTACGGCGATGACAACCTGGCGCCCAACACGGCCAACGTGCAGATGACCTTCCTGCGCCTGCTGTCCACCGAGGGCTCCCAGAACGTCACCTACCACTGCAAGAACAGCGTGGCCTACCTGGACGAGGAGGCGGGCGACCTCAAGAAAGCCGTGCTCCTGCAGGGCTCCAACGACGTGGAGATCCGCGCCGAGGGCAACAGCAGGTTCACCTACAGCGTCCTGGAGGACGGCTGCACGGTAAGTCCCCGAGATGCCACCAAGGCGGGTGGCAACGCTGGGAGAGCCCCGGAACAAGCCCAGAACCTCCCTCCTCGCTCGTTTTCTTCTTTTTTGTTTCTTTTTGGCAGAAACACACTGGCAAATGGGGCAAGACGGTCATCGAGTACCGGTCGCAGAAGACCTCGCGCCTGCCCATTGTAGATATTGCACCTATGGACATTGGCGGAGCCGAGCAGGAGTTCGGCGTGGACATGGGCCCCGTCTGCTTCTTGTAAAAAGAGTTGGTTTATTTGTATGTGTGTGTGTGTGTCCGGTCGTTATTTTTTTAAATCCAGCCCGATAATTGTTAAAAACAAGCAAAAAACACCCCAGAAACCTACCCGCCCCCGAGGACCTGCGTGTTTTCCAATCACTCGTACGACTTCTGCACTGAACGGCTGCCACGACCTCCCCAAATCCCCCTCGATCCCCCCCAAATTCCCTCCGGGACCACGGTGCGAAGTAAACCCAGGGTCTTATTTATTTATTGTCTTCCTGTAAGACCCGTTTTTTGGGGATGCAGGCGGAGGTGGGAATGGGACTGGCAGGTACGAAAGCGGCTCCCACCTAAGGGAGCCCCCAGGTCCGGGTAGGGACGAATCCCCTCCCGTCCCCGGCCCACGAGTGCTATGTATCCCACAGGAACAACAACAAATGGTGCTATTCTTGTAAAACAAGTCTGTATTTTTTAACATCGATTGATATAAAAAAAAGAAAAAAAAACCTTTGGTGGAAAGTACAAGCCGAGCGGTGCCGTTTCTTTTCTGTCTCGCGCCCGTGGCCTTTCTTCCCTTTGCTGCCTTTTTTTTCTCCCTTCTTCGTTGGTGAAAAAGGAAGTTTTCAGGGCAAATTTCAAGCTTTGCTGGTTTTAAGTTATTTCACGTGAAGAAAAAAAACAGCCTGCAAATGAGTGGAGGAAGCAAAAATGGGGAAAATGAGTGGAAAAAATCCTGGAGCAGCAGGAGCAAACACAGCGGCGGGGAGGCTGCGGTCGCACCGTGCAATAGCACCAGGGCGGTTTGGTCCCTTCTAGGGCTTGGAAACCAGCAAAAACCCAGTGAAACCAGTAAAAAAAATCCAGTGAAACCAGTAAAAAACAGTGAAATCCATGGGAAGAGAAGGGCTAAGGCCAAATCTCAGGGAAATGGGATTCCAGTTCCTGGAGGACTTTCAGGGTGGAGGTGCTTGGGTGAGAACTGATAAAGATTCCATTAAACACCCATTAAAATGGGGTGTGGAGAGGGACCCCTAAAGCTGCTAATGCCTTTTCTTCCCCCAAAGCAAAGGGCTGTTTTGGGCACATAAACTGGAAGTGAAGGGTGCCCGTGGCAGTGCTGCTCCCTCGGGAAGCAGCTCCCTTCCTCTGCCTCCCCTGCCTTCCTCCCCTTCCCAAATCCTCTTTCCTGTGTTAAAGACAGGCTGCTTTTCCCCTAAAAAAAGATATAAAGGATTTCCAGGTGATACTGCAGGATATTTTTAGGGAATCTGGGATAATTCATCCCTATGCACAAGAAGGGCCCAACAGGGTGCAGGGGATGCAGGAGGGTGGTTTTGCTCCAGCTGAATGTTTTTTGCAGAAATGGTGGTTTTCCACTCAAAATAGGATGGTTTTAGTGTATAAGGAAGAAAAACCCTCTCGCAAGGGCTTGTGCGGGGCACAGCGGGCGCCGCGGTGGCATCGGGCCCTGCTGGAGCACACGACCCAGGCCCTGCCAGCCTGGGATCCTTCAAAACATTGGCAGGAGAAATTCATTAAAAGGGATTAAGAGGGATTTGCAAAATAAATGCCCTTGAAGAGGCCGGGGGCTTTGGCACCCACCCACTGCAGAGGGCAGCCCCAATTACCAGCCCTCAGGAGCTCATTTTTCCTGCTCAATCCCCATTTTCCTCCAAAATCACCCCTGGAAAAGTTGGAGCATTGGCATCAACAAGGAGGACGCTACAAGCACTAATACAGGATTCAGATTTATTAAGTCAATTCAGTTCTAGAAAGTCTGCTAGGCACAAGTACCACTTTTAAAAAAAAAAAAAACCTCCAAACTCCCCAAATAAAGAATCCTTCATCGAAATAAAAACACCCCCATCTCAATAGTTTCCTTCACAGCTCTGTGCTGTTTCCCTGCACACCCACAACCCAGAGGCAGACACAGGAGACCGCAGGAATTAAACTTGAGGAAAATCGCATCCTTCTGCAACAAAGGGGCCCTTTCAAAGGAGAAATTCACGCTTGCCCCAAAGGGGTTTAAACCCGCACTCGTTTGCCCAAAGGGTACTCGAAGGAAACCAGCTCGGTGCCACCCGCGTGTTTCAGTCTCACTTCATCCCTTCCCATGGGGAAAACACAGGGTAAAGGATTCTACGGGACTGTCCCTTCATGGATCTGTCCCGAACCTCCGGGAAAGCAGCAGCACCAAGCGAGGAAGAGGAGCACCGAGCTCTTCAGCACCTCCCCGAGCTCGTCTCCGTCACCGAGGAGTTTTGGTATCGCTGTCGGTGGCCTCAAATTGCTGCTGGCAAGTGAAAAATCTGCAAAAGCAGAGTGGCTTTCAGCGCATTTCCCTTCTAATGCAAGTTTTATCAGCACAGATACAGGCCGGGCACTTTATCTGCACATTCCTTGCAGGAAACCATCCCTTTTTATCAGGTCCTGCTTGGGAACATGCTGAGGAGGTGTTGCCACTGAGCAAAGGAGGAATCTATTAATTGCACAGAACTAATTAGGTGACCTTGGAAGCAGCAGAAACAGCACCGAGCTTCCACACAGCTGCATTTCACCCTTGGCCTGCAAGGAACGATGCTTCTGAGCCCTGGTCCCCTACCAAAAATCTTGTTCTTTGGAACTGAAGGTGAAAACAGGCCCAGCAGGTCCCTCCCAAGCAAAAATTCCCTTTCCAAAGGGCATGAACACCACCTGGAACAGATCTGTGCGACAGGCCAGCAGTGCAGAAGAGCATGAAATGAACCCAGAGCTCCTGGGGACCAGAGTTATCCGGGATCCTTCTGCCTCCGTTTGAAAGTTCCCGGTCCTTTTCACAGCCGATTTCACATGGGTGGGGAATAAATATCTGCCTGCAGTGTCACCTCCCATGGAAAAGCTGAGCCGGCCGTCACGGGACGCCCTTCCCGGCGCCCGGCGCGGTGGGCAGCGGCTCGGGGAAGGCCGTGGAGTTGGTGCTGCAGTCCACGTAGTGGTACTTCTCCAAGGCGCTCTGCGTGACGTGGCCGATGTACGACAGCTTCACGGACGTTCTGGGGGGAAAAAGAGCGATTTAGGGGAGCTGGCGGCAAGGCCGGGGAGTTCTCTGTTAAATTACGGCAGTTTCGGGGGGTTTATTGCACAGGCACCCCCGCTTCCCCCTCAAAAAGCTGTGAATCCTCTGACACTCACAGCAGCGCGAGGATACACAGAGGCAGCAGATACAGACCCGGAGCAAAGAGCTCCTCAGCAGAGCACTCAGACCGCTCTGCTGTCCTCTCCTCCCCGCTTTGCATCTTTTTGCACCCAATTTTGAGTCACAAGCAACCCACCTCATGAAAATCACTATGTTGTGCACCTTGACCTTGGGAAACGTGCAGAAGAAACTGCAAGAGACCAGAGCAAAGAAGGTCAGCGGAGACTAACCCGGATTTAACACCGGCATCTCCGACAACTGCGTGGCCCAGGTACCTCCTAGTGACATTTTTCCCCTTTTGCACTAGCTCAGTTGGAAACAGCCCCACCAAAAACCCTCTTGATGTCATCTTTTAAGCTGTTTCCGGCAAATTGTTATTCTCCAGAGTGAACGGATTAAACCCACCCTCTCCCCATCTTTCCATAAAAACATAGCAAATCCTTACTACACGTAAGAGAAAGGTCCACCCATCTCTGCCTTCACAGTGAAATTCACCTGCAAAAAGGTAAGAGACAGACATTTACACACAGATTTAGCCACTCAGCCCCCATTTAAACCACTCCTTTGAGTATTTCCCTACTTTAACTGCTCCTCTGGGTGGCACAAAGCACACACTTCAGCACTAAGACTATCCTGCTCCAAAAGCTTTGGGAACAGCTAGATTTTAATTAAGTGAGCTTGAAACGCTGCCTGATTTTCCTATCTGTGACACAAAAAAAGAAAGCCCTAGAAGGTGCAAGGGAAAATAAACACCAGTTTGTCACTCAGGGGCTGGATGCTGGAGACGTTGGTGATCTGCTGGCTTCCGACGACAGTGTTCATGTACTGCACCTGGCTGGTCAGGCTGGTCACTGTCACCGAGTAAAAGTTGGAGTTTTTGATCCTTAACGTGGCCTGTGGTGAAGAAGAGGAGAAATATGAGGAGTTGGGGCCTCTCCTGCAGCTCAGCGGTAAAAATCTATCCCCTCTCAAACGCAGATGATCTAAAACGTTACCGTGATGGCGAGGATGACGACGGAGTTCTTCTTGTCAAACCACACTTGAACCACTTTGATGCCATCGTCTTCCACGAGGACGGAATGTGGGAAGAGAAAGAAAACGACGAGCCCGGACACGAGGAGGCAGAGCAGCACGGAGAGCAGGACGTACTGCTTCCTGGGGAGGTGGGAAAGGAGCCCTCATCCTTCGGCATCCCGAGTGTCTAAGGGTCAGCCTCACCAACATCCAGCCTCACTATCCACTCTTCCCTGGGGCAGACCTGCTTTCCATAGTGAAATTGCTCAATTTCGCCCTTCACCCAGTTGGTTTTTTCGGTAATGAGTGACCAAAGGATCATTTGGGGCCCTCTAATGTTTTCCCCGAGCTGCCGTTTGCGCCGTTGGTGAACGGGCTCCGTCTCCAAAAGGAGGGCACCAGGACAAAGGGTATGAGTAGCAGCTTTGTTTCTGCGTTCACCCCTACGGTGGGATTTGACAGGAAGCATTTAAAGTTACGTTTTAAACTGTATTTATTGGCACACTCCGACTGAAACAAAAACACCAGGCAAAGGAAAGGCTGCAGACAGGGGGAACTGTTTAGCCATGGCCATAAACGACAAAGAGCCCCATTTAGCCTCCATAAAGACACAGTTACACTCAGCCCCTGCACTTACGTTCGCTGCGGACGGAGCCGTTGGTCGCTGTAGGGAATCAGAGCCACCAGCTCATTTACCTGCTCTGGAAAAAGGAATGAGCACATTAGGCAGCTCTGTTTCCTTGAAAGGTCGCTCTTCTTGGCAAGGATCATCAAATCCTCGGGATGCTGGTGAGCTCAGTTCAGTCCCAGCACTAAGCTGGAGCAAAATCCTGATTTTAGATACATCGACATGGAAAGCAGCATGAAAAATAAGCTACACTTTAAAAGATAAAAAGTGCTTTCTAAACCAATGCTGGTGGTGTTTTGGGGTCTCCAAAAGCAGCTATTTCACTTAAGGAAGATTCACGCTCCGTGCGTACGGTACTTGGGAGGGGGACAGTCACCTGTGGGGATGCAGCCGGTGCCCTGGCACGTGGGACAGGTGATGCTGTCCTGGCCCGTGAACTCCACGTAGGGGAACTTGGCGATGTCCTCCTCGCGGTCGCGGCTGTCGAGCAGGTCCTCGTCCTCCTCCGCGCTCCTCCTCGGCCGCGAGGCGGCGGCGCCGGCGGGGAGGGAGAGCAGGGAACCCATCGCGGAGCCGCGCGGGGCTGCGGGACGGCAGGAGCGGCGCGGGTCGAGGATGGGGAGGCCAAAGGAGAGGGAAAGGGCAGCCCCAAATGGGACCTGCCCACCAGCACCCACAGAGAACTCCCCAAAGAGACCTATGTCCCCTCAGATCCCCCAAATGAGGGTCCCTGGGTTCCCCAAGAGACCCCTCTCAAACCTCCCCAAAGGGGGACCCCCCAATGGGCCCCCCACAGGTATCCAACCCCCATCACTCACCACAGAGCCAACCCCCCCCCCACAGAGACCCAGACCCCATCAGAAGCCCCAAAGAGGGTAAAAAACAAAACAGAAAACTATCCCCCCAAAAAAGACCCAGGCACTTCTGAACACCCCCCCAAAGAGACACCACTAAATTCCCCCTAAAAGAGCTCCCTGCAGAAACTCTTCCCCCAGCACC